GTTTCTTCATTCCAGCAACATTTTGTTGCAAAATAATCTTGTGGCGCAAACAAAATTAATGCAAGATCCAATTGAGCAAACAGTAGTAAGTGGTCAGAATAAAAAAGAAAACAATACAGAGCTAAACTGTCAAGTTAAAAACAATCATCCCACTTCTGAAAAATTTCGTGAACTTATAAATCAAATAACACAAATGACTTATTTATGCATCTCGCAAAAAGCTATTGATAATTTGTTTGCAGGGCTTAATCAACTCAAAACAAACTTAGCAGAAAGTCTTCCAGTGGAACAAGGTATTTTCTTGCGTCCAGAAAATAAACCAGATATTTGGAACAAGTCTCAGTCAAATTTACCAAGACTTGGACAGCTACCAGTAAGACACAAAAGAAAACTGACTAAAAAAGTTGGTAAAAACTATGACATGTATAAAGCAGCCTCAGTTATTAGTGTAATAAATAAAAATGATTCTTTGTTGTCATGTGACTCTGAGATAATTACATGTCACTCCATAGATGAAAATTGTGAAATCTTTACAGTTCCCTGTGAATCTATTATTCAAAGTTCCATTCAAACTGAAGAAGTTTTGATAAATGAGATTTTAAAAGCTAATGTATGTAATGATGCAAATAAACAGCAAAACACTGTTCAGCGTATTAAATATCTGAAATCGTATTTGATTGGAAATATAGAATGGAATGAAATTGAAAAAGAACAAATGATTAATGATAATATCATTCATTTTTGTCAGCAAGTCATGTCAGTGCAATTAGGTATCAATATTGGTCTGCAAGATCCTATCAAAGGAAAAGTTCTATCCTTTGAAATACTTCAAAGCATTCCATTTGTTCAAATTCTACATGATGGCAATCTCCACTGGGTTTGTGTGACCACTTACAATTGCAAACCAGGAGAGATATTTCTTTTTGACAGCCTTTTTCATGGATCAGTTTCTTTTGACACAAAAAGACAAATATGCTCCATTCTGCATTGTGATCTAAAATATATTGTTATTAAAGTATTACCCATTCAACAGCAAACTAATGGTGTTGATTGTGGAATGTATGCTATTACCTGGGCTAGACAAATCCTTGAGGCAAAGGGTGTACCATCAACTACAATAACATTTGAGCAAAATAAAATGCGAAAACATCTTCTACATTGTATATTAAACAGCCAGTTAGATGTTTTCCCACTCGCTGTTAATTCAAATGGGTTTCGCAGATGTGGAGCAAAGACATTCCGCGTACTTTTACATTGCTCATGTCGCATGTTTTGGTCTCCTAAAGATGATAAAATCTTTAACAGGTAAAATATATCATTTGAGATGTTGTTTAATTTTCTATAATATTAATTAACAATAATAATATAATAATCAATAGTATAAATAATAACATTAGACAAAATTTATTTTTAAGACAAATGGCTCAATGTAACACTTGCCAAAAATGGTATCATCGCGAATGCGAAAAGATACCGCAGAGTGCCTATGAAACAGAAGATGAACTATGGAATTGTCACAGCTGTAAGAAGAGTTTGTCATAAAATTGAGGCTATAAAAAGAGTTTGTCATGAAATGAGGCTTGTATTGTTTTTTAATTTTATATATCTGCCAATAGTTTAAAAATTAAATCTTTTTAGGCATTGTCTTAAGTTGTTGATAATTATTGCAACTATAGTATTGTTGCAATAAACCATTTTACATGATGATTTAATGTAGTTTAAATCTTTCACTATAGATTTATACCATTTTGATGACATGTATTTTTAACATTTGGCACAAATATACTGTTGTCTTTGTACTGGTATAAAATGCCCTATTTGATTTGTTTGTGTCATTGTGCTGGTAATATTATTGACATTGAACTGCTTATACCTAATTGGAATCGGTATACTAATGAAATAGAGCCTTTTTGTGGTATAAGCCGTTAGGGCTATATAAAAAGAATATATATATGAGATGCATCTCACAGGAAAAGGTACCAAGTCTTAGAAATGGAGTTACTGATACAGTTGCATAGAGGATAATAATAAGACACAAAATAAAACAAAAATTAACTTGATAGCATCATTATTGTTACATTTTCTTTTTACATAGTTTTTCAAGGAAGTGTTTTAAAAATGAAATTACAGTATAATATGAGTTATTAAAGTTTGACATACTTTAAAACTGTGTAACTTAAAAATAGTAATAAAGTTAATGTATATTTTGAATATTTATTTTAAAAACTATTACTAAATAATTATAAAACTGCTCGAAAAAAGAATAAAGCTAGATTCAAATTTTTCAACTTTTTTTTTCTTTTCTTAAAACGCGTATATCTTCGAGTCTAGAAATAAAGACTTGGTACCTTTTCCTGTGAGGCGCCTCATTTTAGATTCTCTCTATTAATATAGTGACAGAGTGTAAAATGGTTTTCCAGTTAATGAAATCTGAGAATGCTTCTTACTTTTTTTTAGGGCGGTAAGCGTATCTTGGCTACCTTCACGTTGGTGCTTACTGATAAAAATGATTTCAAAAGGTTAAGTTCATATACTTTCCTTTTGATTCATAACTAAATGCCAAGACAAAAAAGAAAATTAATCTAAACTGAAAACACTACAAATTAATATTAACCGAATAAAAATCCCTTTTTATAGACGCTAAATATTAAAAACTCAAAATTAATCTGAGAAACTTTGATAAAATGAATATAAACTAATTGTAAATTTTAAAGAAAATGAAAAAATATTTTTTTTGTTTATTTGGATAAATGAAACCTTGTACTTTATTTTTATTTGTTAAATTATATATATATATATATATATATATATATATATATATATATATATATATATATATATATATATATATATATATATATATATATATATATATATATATATATATATATATATATATAGTTATATATATATATATATATATATATATATATATATATATATATATATATATATATATATATATATATATATAACTATATATATATATATATATATATATATATATATATATATATATATATATATATATATATATATATATATATATATATATATATATATATATATATATATATATATATATATATAGTTATAGATATAAATATAGATATACATATGTAGATATACAAAAAGAGTAAAGTTATTTTTTTCCACAATTTATGGATAATTTTGTTTTGTGTGTTTTTGTTTTGTTCTTTATTAAAATATTCAATATACAAGAGAAAAAGTACAAGTGAAGATAACGTAAATATAAATAAATAAATAACGCAGATACTCAAAGAAAATCATCAGGTCTCGTCACAGAGAGCCCCGGGTGAAAAAATTAAAACATGATGAAAAACTTTAACTAAGTATAGAGGTAGTTATATAAAAAAAATAAACCGCCGATAAAAAAACTTAAAACTTATACAAAGTAGAGAGGTAGTTATAAAAAAAAAATTAACCAATAAGATTAAATAATCCTTTTACAACTACAAAAAAAAAATAAAAAAAAATACAAGTACAGTTAACTTTGGTAATTTTTAAAAAGGGTAACTTTGGCCATTTTTAAAAAGTTTAATTAAACATTTGTAGCTTTGAAACAGTTAAGTAACGTTTTATTATTTTCGTTTTATTTGTAAATGCAATCTTTCTTGCTTAAATTTTGATCTGAAGTTTGTTGAAAATGCTTTTTACCATAAGAAAAACTACATCTTGGTAAAACACCATCAAAAACTGTAAAACAAAATGTTGTCTGGGCGAAGATAAAAAATGATAGCAAACAACTCAGTTTTTCTTCTGTTTTAAAGACAAACGTTCAGATAAAATTAGGCGAAAAGTTTTTGGCTCAAGTAACAGCATTCTAGTTTTTTTACAGGGCGGTCAAAGTTACCCCGTAGGTTTATACTCAAGTTATCTTCTTTATTAAAATTGGTACAAAGTTACCCCCGGTTTACGGTATTTGATTTAATATATGAAAAGAGAGACATTGAAATCACCTTTTTTGAGAATATAACTTGTTGCGGTTAAGTTAAATAGTTGCTTTATTAAATTCAAGTTTCGTTATCATTTCATTATTTATACTAGTATTGGGTTCTTCTCCCAAAAATTATCAAATGTTTGATTTAGTTGCACAATGTTAAAAGTATGAGAGTGGGGTTACATTTCAAGATTGGGACGCCACATTAACAAAATATTTGTTAAGATCTTGACATATATTTGTTTCGCTAGTTATAATTTTTTAACCGAAAAGAAGTTTTTGTGGTTAGTTAGGATAACTATTTTTCCTCTTCCTCTTCACTTATAACAGTCTAAGTTCTATAAATGTCGAATTTATGTTAATCAAGCTGATAAAAAAATACCTTTTTTTTTACTTTATTTTAAAAAATGTTTTATAGTTTTTGGAGATTTTTCCATTATCTGTATTTTTTTTTTTAAGTATTTTACGTAAAGTTTTTGTTTTCTTTTTGATGCTTTAATGAAAATTAATATCATCCATAGATTCTTATATTCTTTGCATTTTTTCTGCAGTTATTTTTGGTTATATTTTTTAGATATTTTAAAATAAACTTGAGAAATCATCAAATGCATATTATTATATTAGGATCTTTTAATGACTAAATTGTTTTTTTATGCCATTTTCTATAATTTATATATATATATATATATATATATATATATATATATATATATATATATATATATATATATATATATATATATATATATATATATAAACATGGACGGCTCGAGTAGGTGTCACGTGGGGTTGCCAATAAAAATTATGCTGACTAAAAAAACAAATTTAGCCGACTGACTTGTCTAAAAGGGTCAAATTTGCCGACTAAATAAACGAAAAAACCATTGATGTGGGACGGGAGAGGGGTGAAGAATACTTGAAGAATTGTAACATTTTGAAAGTGTTAGTATATTATTCTTATTTTTTTGTTGACTTTAATCTATTTTTCAAAGTTTAGGAAAAAAAGTACAAAAGTAGGTGAACAATATAAAAACACAACTTTTTCGCATTTATATACTATATTTAAAATTAGTAATAGTGATTCACCGCGACGCCTCTTTCCCGACCGCCTCGACCACCTCCACGACGTGAGTTGTTACGGAAATTTTCAAAATCTCTACCGCCATTGCGTCGCCAAACCTTGAAGGCACTACGAGATTTTGGCCCGTCGTGCTCTCGTCGCCAACTTAGAAAATCGTCCCGCGTAAGTTCTATAAAATGTTAAAAATGTGAAAGTAAGAAATTAATAACGAGATAAAACTAAAAGTTAAATGTGCTAAAAAAATAACACATACGTTTCTTTTTTGGTTCGCAAATCTTTTCTTGTGGTCCTTAAATAAACTTTTTGTATAAACATTTGCGTACTAGTCAAATTTTATTATAAATATTATAATTTTATTTATACTTATCTTAATCTAGCTTGCACAGATTTCTAAAGGTTTTTAATTTGTAGATACTAGTAATGCAAACAAATTTCAAATACCTTGGAATAACTCAACTAATGATTCATAACTTAAAAAGTAAAAATAACTTTAGCAAACCAAACAAATTTATTATTTATTTTTACAGGTAATGATGGGCTCTTGAGGATAGAAAAGTCAACAAACACTAATTCATTCAATATTAACTTAATAACGTTCAGAATATTCAATATATAAAATACACAGATAAACATTATTTTTACCCAGCAATGCTTTTCTTTTAGCTAAAAAAATTTTTTTTGCATTAATGCAACTTTTTACAATATTTTTAGCAAAATTAGTAAATTAGTTAAAACTGCAATACATACTACGTACCTAACTCATCCTGTTTGCGAACTATAAACAAAAGTACATTTAAAACTAGATAAGTAATTTTAACAAAACAAAACAAAATGTAAATATTAAACAAAACAAAATGTAAATATTAAACCAGATAATTATTTTTAACAACTGTTAATATTCAAACTAATTGCAAAAACTTTACTTATTGAGAATTTGCTTAAATAGAAGTGAAAAAGTGGCTCCAAAATATACTTGATTAAATCGAAACCAACCGATTTTTTAACATTCATGTATTCCCACTTGTGTGATATGCATGGCTTTACATTATATTCATAACGTATCATATTTGATATTAGAGAAGAGTCAAAGTACTTTTTTTTAAATCAGATAAACCTTCTTGATTTTTACCTGTTATACAGATAAAGGAGTATTTTATCACGCAATTCTACTACTAGAAAAATTACCGTCCCAGGTTAACGTGCTACTCCTCCTACCTTTACTCAAAATTAGGGTTTTATATTATAGATTCTATTCTGCTTTCACTCTAGTCGATGAGCCTTCCCCCCCCCCCCCCCTATAAATGAAGTAGATTTTGAAAGGTTACATGTTACTAGTAACAGAGTAACCTTAAATTGACTAAAATATTTGATATTGAAACAATGAAAAAAATAGTAACAGTGTTATATAAAAAAAAAAAAAATAAGTAAAAGTTGTAAATATCTATAAAAAACGTTTACGCACAAGTGTTTACATAACATTTTGTTAATAATCATAATCAGTTTATTATCATAAAAAAAAAATTAATTTTTTGCAACTAACGATAAGCAATTTTGTATGACATTTGCTTTTTCAAAGTTATTTTATCATAAAAATAAGTACAAACAACATATACCTATTTCCTCATTGAGTATTTCTAAAAATAAATCACCAAGATAATTCAATTGCGTATCAAAACAAAAAATAAGTTAAACCACAGAACAATATAAAATATATTACCTTGCTTCATTTGCATTTTTTTTAAAGCTAAATGTGAAATGAAGATCATAAAGTTTAAAAAAACAGCGTTTAAACCTCTAAATTTTATGATTATAAAGCTTACCAATTTCATCTTCCTTGGCTTCTGAATATGAACAGGTTTCATTAAAAAAGAAGAGTTAAATTAAAACAAAAAACAAAATTAATTAAATTAAAAAATTCAATATAATAAGTAAGTTGTATAATAAACACTGTAAGTGTAACAACCCAATTGTTTCAAGACTTCTCTCTCTAAAGATAAACGAAACGCATAGAAATGTTATCAAATAAAACTACACAAATCTTGAATCATAATTATTAATGCTTTAATAGAGGTATAATGAGTAAAAGATGTTAACTTAGTAAACATAAAACCAATATTAATTTAAATACCTTTATAATCTTTATCATCAACAGCAACTATTTTTAAAATATACATATTTAAAATAATCTAATTACAATTACACTATCACAAAGTAAAAAATCCAATAAATCTTCATAGCAATAAATAAAACTTCTAACAATTACCTACTATCTCCTGGATTGAGAAAGGGATAGAAGTGTTTATTTCGGTTTCAAGTCAAGCTTCACTCTATCCGAAGGCTTTTCCCTATTTGTGCAGTTGTTACTGGTATTCTTGATCATTTTTTAAAGGGAAAAGATTCTTAAAAAAAGATTCTTTTATCATTGCAAAAATTGATCAAAAAAAGGTCTTGTCTGACACTAAAGGTCATTGTCCCAGATAACCAAATGTGGAATCTTATTTCAGAAATTTAAGTTCTATAAACTTTTGGGAAATATCATCAGAGTAGCCAACATCTAACATTCTACCTCTACTTTAAGTATCTCTCTCAAAGATAAAGCAAAAACTATTTACAAAGAACTTTTCCTTTATTTTGTTTCTTGATTCTTATGATCAAACTCTGGCTGTCATTCCAGCATAACCAGTTAATCCACTGATAGACATCCAAATTACTCTTGATTCCGTTGCTTAAGATATTTCTCACATAAAAAACATTTGTGGTCTAGACAATGTTCCAGTCCTTTATAAGTATTCTTGAACAATACAACATTGAACTATTAAACATACTGTAAGATATGCAGCATTGTTTAGTGTGAATTAGTTTATAAACAAATTAATCAAAAAAAAAAGATCACCAGAGAAAAAATAAAAGTGCATGAAAAAATTTAAATGAAACAAATAATGCAAAAGTATTATATTATTTGAAACATAAAATCCTAAGAAATAAATCTTTTTCAGGTATTTCATACCTGAAAAACTGTTAAAAAATCTTTTTGTTCTTTTCTCAGCAACGTCTAAAGCAAAAAATAAGAATTAAAAAAAAAGTATTAAACTAAGGTAAAATAACTTAAATATGAATAAATTTGTTAACAGTTTAAATAAATACATAACTAAAAATTACCAAGTATTGCTTTCCATTTTTCTACAAAACAAAATAGTTTTAAATCTTTGATGCAACATATTACAAGCTTTGTTTTATATCATATATAGAACTGTATTTTAATTAATAACAAAACCTCTAACATGAATTACCTACCTAACTCATCCTGTTTGCAAGCTAAAAAAAGAAAAAAGATTTCTAAATAAACTGTAATATAAATCTGGCTCTATCAGAAATTAAATGTAAATTAAAATAAATAGCAAATACCTATCTGCTCTTTCAAAGATATAACTCTTTTTGGTGATACTTGTTTTATAAAAAAAGGCATATCATTTCATAAAGGAAATATATTCTTTTAAAAAGGAGGTTTGCAATATAATTATGAATACAAAATAATGAAAACCTACTAGATTCCACAATTGACTTTAAAGAAGTTAACTTTTCATTAGTTTGGTCATTGGCTTCCATTATAACTTTTTAACTAAAATAAACATTGACAATTAATTTTATGAAATAATACAATTGTATATATATATATATATATATATATATATATATATATATATATATATATATATATATATATATATATATATATATATATATATATATATATATATACATATATATATATATATATATATATATATATATATATATATATATATATATATATATATATATATATATATATATATATATATATATATATATATATATATATATATATATACGTATATATATATGATATTGATATCTTGGTTGACTGGGCAACTAAATGGGGGATGAAATTTAATATAGAAAAATGTTCAGTTTTACACCTAGGTCATAAAAATAAACATCTTGTCTATTCTATGTACGATCCAGTGAAGAAAACAAGGATTGATATCAAATCTACCAACTCAGAAACTGACCTCGGAGTACATATCGATAATAACTTGCTATTTTCTAAACATACCTCTACTCAAGTTAATAGGGCAATGCAGATGCTATTTCTAATAAAAAGATCTTTCTCTTATCTAAATTCATTTTGTTTTAAAAGACTGTTTTCAGCACTAGTACGACCATATTTAGAATATTGTGGTTCTGTATATAACCCTCGTCTACTGAAAGACAAACGACAAGTTGAAAATATACTCAGAAGAGCATCTAAATCAGTTCATGGATTAAAAAGTCTAACATATCACCAAAGACTATTGAAACTTAATATGACAACCATAAGATACAGACTAATCCGGGCTGATTTAATAAACGTCTATAAATGGCTAAACAACTACTACAACTGTCAAACGATCTTTCCAAAAACAATTATAAATTCTATTACAAGAGGACATTCATTTAAACTAGAAAAACCTTATTCTCGTCTAGCTTCTCGTCAATACTTTTTCACCTTATGAGTAATCAACAAATGGAACTCCCTCCCAGATGACGTTGTAAATGCTACTTCCGTAAGCAATTTTAAAAACAAACTCGACAATTATCTAAAAGAAGAAAAAACAATTTATGACTAGTATATTTATATAGTAATCATAAGACAGGTTGACAGGCATTTCATGCCTATACAAATCCAATTTGTAAACCTTAATAATAATAATATATATATATATATATATATATATATATATATATATATATATATATATATATATATATATATATATATATATATATATATATATATATATATATATATATTGTGTATCTGTGTATATTTAACATATACAACGTATATTATAATTTTATATATATATATATATAATTTTATATATTTGTTTAATTATATATGTATTTAATAATATATATTTATATAATTATATATATACATATTGTATATCAGTATATATTTAATATATACAACGTTTGTTATATACACATATATACAACAATATTGTAAAAGTGTGTATATAATATTATTATAAACACACATTTATACATATATAACTATAACTATACTACACATGTACATATATAACATACTACATATGTACATATATAACTATACTGCATATATATAGTTATAGTGTATATAGAATATTATGTCAGAAGAGCTCGTTTTATAAAAATCCAGCGTGCTTGTTTTTAATTTAAACGCATGCGTACAAGCAGATGAAAACATTCTAGGTCTGCGTTTTTTTAAAAGTTCAAAATGTTATTTTGAATCATCCGATAGAACCGGTGAAAACGTGCTCCACATTTAAAGAATATTAATTATTTCATAAATTAAATTATAAATGCAAAAATTAATTATGTTAACTCTGTCCTGGACGTGAAGCGGGACAATTGCGGAACATTTTACGGGACCTAACTTTACGCTATGGAATCATGTACTTACCTTGTTAGAAAAGGCTTCTTTTAAATTAGTCAGGGGGTAATCATCATATATTTAATTCGACTAACTTGGCCTGAAGTTACGCTACCGAACGACAAAAATAAAACAATTTAAACTATTTTAACAAGTTTTTAAAATCTTGTCAGCCGAATAAAAGGGTCTGATAAGTCGCAAGATTTTTTTGACTAACTTGGCCTTAAGTTACGTTACCGAACAGTAAAAATAAAAAAAATTTAAAGGACTTCAATAATTTTTTGAAATCTCGTCAGCCGAATAAACGGGCCAGATAAGTCGCAAGATTTCTTGACTAACTTGGTCCAAAGTTACGCTACCGAAAAAAAATTACAAGACGGGGCTATTTGGCGCATATACTTATCATAGTTTAATTGCTATTGCTGTTTAGACCAAAAAAATAGAGATTTTATTTAATTTCAAAAATATATAACATATTTCATTAGCCTAATCGTTGTTTAGTTTAGTAAAAAAGATGTTAGTCAATGCGCCTAACAAGACTAACCCTAAACCCGCCCCTGTTACCTCTATCTTCCTTCTAAAAAATAGAAGATATGCTCAATAAAAACTGCTAGAAAAAAATAAAGCCAAAAGAAAAACTAAAACAAACAAAATGTAAACGATTTAAAAAATTAAAAGGAGTGATCCTTTTTATTTTATTTTTAATAAAAAATATTTATATATAAATTGCGAAACTATTTTCAATGCTTATATGATCTTAACGATGATTGTTATAATATGATCTTAACGATGATTATTTATCTTAATATGATTCTTTATGTAATATTTCTAAACTAATCTTAATATTAATTCAATTCTAAAGGTAAAAAGTTTTAACTCGGTTGAAAGATCTTCTTCTAATAACCACGTGCATTTTGAGAACGCGCTGTTTCAAGTTCAGAAAAGCCTAGTAACTAATTAAAACTGCTTTAAAAACGAAAGCGAAACGATATTGAACATTGAACATTGAACATTGAACATTGAATTTTTACAGTATTCATATTTAGAGAAGAAGTTAATAAACTACATATTTTACTTTATAAACTACATATTTATTATATTTGTTATGTTTTAAATAGTAAATAAAAAATATAATAAATGTTTGAATTTAATAGTGTGTGCATAAGTTCTTTTATTTTAACTTTATCATTTTATTTAAATTAGTGCATTATTAGCAGGTAAGTTTGACTGACAATATAAATAATGTTGTACATCATGCAGACAGCTCAGACAAAGAAGTAAGTTTTTACTTAAATTTACAATTTATAAGTTATACTATATTTGTTGCTGCCTTGTTCTTTATAAATGTTACTAACATGCAGGTAAAATTTAAATATGTGTATAAACCTTTTCATTATAAGCTTATCATTTCATTTAAATTAATACATTATTAGCAGGCAGGTTTGACTGGCAATATAAATTTAGCCATTCATTAACAAGTCCTGTGCTTTATAATATATATAAAGATGGTAAGGACGTGAAGAAAACAGGTTTGTAAATGATGTTGTATATCATGAAGATAGCTCAGAAGAAGAAGTAATTTTTTTTTTTAATTATAAAAATAAATAAGTAATATAATATTTGTTGCAACCTTGTTCTATACAAATGTTTCTAACATGCAGGTAATATTTGTATATGTATTAGTTTGAATAAATCATTTTAATTAAGTTACATTATAGGCAGGAATGTCTGACTGGAAATATAAACGATGTTGTACATAATGCAGATAGCTTAGAGGTAATAATCTAATAATTGTTATTTATAAATAATGATATATTTATTGCTACTTTTTTCTATATAAATGTTACCTAACATTTGGCAACATTCATAATTGTGTATAATGCCTAATTATAAAGTAAGTTATAATAGATAATAATTATAAGAAAAATGAATTAGTAAATAAAGAAAACTAGTTAGAATGTATATAATAGTTGTATGATATATTGTCTAGATTGGTGAAATAGAGAATGAGACTAACTACGGTGAAAAAAATAATGAATATCAAAATGTGAATGGTACTTTGTTTGACATCTACCTGTTTCTACAGATACAGTGCAGTCGCACTTATAAATGGGCTTGATGTTTTTTTGGATTGAATATGTTGTATTGATGGTTCTTTTTAACTTGTTAAAACTTGAAGTTATTATCAAATTTATATATACTATTTTTATCAAATAGTTAATATAAAATAATAAACATGCATATTGTTTTATTTTCTGGAAAAATTGTTTTATTGATATATTTCAATTGTTTATCACTATGTATATCACTTATAGTATGTATTATATTACTTACTAATTTTTTGTTTTATTTATTTAACAAGATTTAAATTTTATTTTGTTTATTGATTTTATTCGGAGAAAGCGATCCCATAGATTAACTCTTAATCTATCTATTAGCGTGATAAAATTTGCTTTTATGATTTAATATGACAATTCAAATAACATTAGATCAAAAAAACTTGAAAACAAATCATGCTTTTTATATGAAAAATCCATGAGTTTTCCTTGGAAAGGTGTTCCTAATACCTATGGAAATTCCATGGTTTTTTCAATGGATGGAAAATCATTGAATATCCATGGTATTTGTAACACTTTTCCATGAAAAACTCATGGATATCCCATGGAAAACTCATGGGTTTCCCATAGGAAACTCATGGATTTCCCATGGAAAACTCATGGGTTTCCCATTAAAACGTGTTCCAAATAACCATGGTTTTTCCATGGTTTTTTTTCATGGGTTTTTTGATGAAAATTTTCCGTAAGTGTAGATCTAGTGCTTGTTACTCAACATTTCTTTATTTATAAAAAAATACTTAACTTGTTTAACACTAACACTGTCTTTTTTTTATGAATAAAACCTTATTCCATTGATTGTATTTTCCACGTTTTACATATTTATCGCACTTTTTTTAGCACTTGATCCAGTTTTACCAGTACAACCTGAATTGATTAATTTGGAAATTTTAATTTTTTGTCATAAACTTGTTACTTCTTTCTCAATATGCTTTATGCGTGGATAGAGACCAACAGTTTGAATTTTGAGTGGTATCCTGCTGTTATTTTTCAGTGATTGTTATCCTAGTGGATCAGCTTTTATTTTGTCCAATTTACTCATAAAATTTTACAAGATTATTTATCTAGATTGTCTTGTTTTTCAGTCGTGGAAGAGTATTGAGACTTTTTAAAATAGGTACTTTTTAAAAAGTCTTAATACAGTAATTATTTAGATATATATTTAGTAAATACCTAATAAGTTCTTCAAATCAAATAGTTCTCAAAACTAAGTTCCCTACCTTGGGTAAGCAAAATTTTTACAACAAACAAAACAGAATTTTAAACTTCGTTCTCTTGGTGTTCCTAATGACGAATTTTGTTGAAATAGTAACCCAATTAAAACTCACCATTAAAATTACTTTGAATGTCTTTTTGGCGTAATTTTTACAAAATCAATTATATTTAAAAGGTTCAAAAAACTCAAAATATTAAAATTATATTGCAATATTAATTGTCCACTTGAATAAATTGATAAAAACATTTGAAACTCTTTTTGAACAAACTTTCGAAAACTAGAAAGTGGTCAAAAATCAGTGGTGAGCTGTCCAACTGTACAACTTCAAAGCATCAAGATCACAAGAAAGTCCTTTGAACATTCATGCCTCATTTATCAAGTTGGCAAATCAAAGTACAATCATGCGTATCATCAACACTGATCCAATACACAGATTGAGTATCATCAACACTGATCCAATACACAGATTGTTATAGATTGACACAGACATACAATAGAAGATCCCATACATTGGCTGTATATCAAAAAACAACAACCCTCACTGTTTCCACATCTCTGGATTCTGGTGTCAATCAACTATTTTTTTCTCCATATACTTTGCTGTTCATACAATAATACAAAAAAATTTTTTCTTAAATATATATATATATATATATATATATATATATATATATATATATATATATATATATATATATATATATATATATATATATATATATATATATATATATATATACATATATATATATATATATATATATATATATATATATATTTATATATATATATATATATATATATATATATATATATATATATATATATATATTTGTATATATGTATAATATATGTATAATATATGTATAATATATGTATAATATATGTATATAATATAATATATGTATATATATATACAAACCCTCAGTCGATGTAGCAGCACTCTCTTGCGAGTCAGGCTATTTGTCAGTCGTTGCACTTTCTTGCGAGTCAGGCTATTTGTCAGTCGCAGCACTTTCTTGCGAGTCAGGCTATTTGTCAGTCGCAGCACTTTCTTGCGAGTCAGGCTATTTGTCAGTCGATGTAGCAGCACTCCCTTGCGAGTCAGGCTATTCGTCAGTCGATGTAGCAGCACTCCCTTGCAAGTCAGGCTATTTGTCAGTCGATGTAGCAGCACTCCGTTGCGAGTCAGGCTATAAGATAGTCGATGTAGAAACACTCCCTTGTAGCAGCAGGCAATAAGATAGTCGATGTAGCAACATTTACGCATGTTTTAAATATGTTTTTTAATAAAACAAAAACAAAAACACCACTAATTAAAAAAAACTTTCTATTCGTTATTATTGCGGTTTTTTAAAGTTTTGTTAAAAAACAATAAAAATTAATGTACTTCCGCATTAATTTAATTGCTTTGACATTTCGACGACAATCAAAAACAGCTTGAGAGACGAGGTTTTTAAAATTGTAGTCGAAAGAGACTTTTTTTGCATTAAAAGACTCTTTCGACTACACTATAAGGATATATATATATATATGTATATATATATATATATATATATATATATGTTTATAAAAACAGACAGGGGCTCAAAGAAAATATGAATGACCAGAGTCACCACAATCTTTTCATAGAGCCCCTAGTGAGCTTTAACAAGTGCAGAGAAAATAAAGTTATTATAATAAAAAAATAAAAAAATAAAAAATAAATAAAAACTTCTTTAAAATCTTTAAATAAATAACAAAACCCCGTAAAAAAAAATTATAAAGAAAAAAAGACAATAAGAGGAATAAATTCATTTGAATATATCAAAAAATTAAGTTAAAAAACGAGAATGTATATTAAAAAAAACTATAGTGAATATGTCAAGTTCCAACACTGTCATTTGATTTCTTCATAATTTCTTTTTAAATTTTATTTGATTTTATATTTTTCTTTTATATAAAACTTAAATGAAAGTTTAGAGGGTTGTGTGCCCACGCAATGTTCCCATAATTTATATGAATTAGGATGAAGTATATTAATCTAAGATTTTGGTTATTAATTAAAAGACTACATTATTTCAATAGTTGTTTAATTTTTGATTCTATGTATTCAATATATATTGTATTGTGTGTACTTTAAACATTCTTGTTTTTAAATTTGTTTACTATTTATAAAAAGAAATGGTATTTTAAGTGGCAGCTTTTCTTCCTGCGTTTTTTTATAAAGCTATTTTTATTAACTAACTAATTAAGGCCGTAGTTAAAAACCTTCCACAAAACTATAAGAACCACAAATCAATATTTTTTTTCTTTTGCTGCTGTTGTGTTTTTAATTTGCGGTTAAAAGGAAAACCAAGAACAATTAAATCAATAAGAACTCAATTCCAGCTCTACAATTCACATTGAAAAGAAAGTAAGTTGCCGGTAAAGAAGTGCTTGAATGTAATTTAAGAGCATCTCATCCAAGCAGAGTAAGCTTCCAAAGTTGTTTGAAACAATTATATATTTGTGTGTTTTTGTAATTTATACACACGCGAACATTTTTTTTTTGTTTATTAGCCTTCAATAAATAAATATTACAGAATAGCTTTATCACAAATATATATTTTTTTACTTCAGATGCCCCAAGAGGTTCTTAAGGTCTTATCACAGAGCGCAGTGGAAAAGCATTTAAAAGGAAGTTTACGTCTCCTTCATTACTGATGTTATAAATCTTGCCCAGAGATGGTGTTGAATCTCAAGCTTCTGAGGAAAGCTAACTACTGCACTGAGCAAGCTAACTACTGCACTGCGTCTGCATGTATAGTATGCAAGGACTTCCTGAAGATTTTACGATCTTACCATAAAAACTCTTTTTAATATCAAAAATATTATTAATAAAAAACTAAAATAAAGCAATGAAATTAAGCCAAAATGCATAACTGTTCATACAAAATATAAGTATACTGGATAAAATATATAAAAAAATAAAAAATAAAATAAAAACCAAAAAAATTTTTTTTTGTTGAAAAGATAACTTCTTTTAATTTCCGCTAGAAAAAAGTAAAGTGTACTTCAAAGACAAATAAAAAGAGGGCAAAGTTAGGCGCGGTCATTTTTTAGTCGATAAAAAAGGCCTTGATAAGAATTAAATAGCTTATATAGTTTTGCAGAAAGGTTCTTGAAGTTTTTTTCAATTACAAAGATTGCACTTGTTTAACGATTTTACATTAATAATGCAATAAGGTTTATAAATACATTTTGAAATAAATGGATATTACATTCAGGACCGTCTCGAAGATGTCTCTCATTGTGGGGGGGGGGGGGGGGGAAGGAGATGTCGTATGAGTGTTTTGCCAACCAGAGACGCAAAATTCATTTTAAAAACGAATAAATACTTCTTGGTTGTATACCCTAAGAATATTAAAACAGCGCGACAATGCTCTTGTATAATGATTTTACTTTTAGCTAAACCAGTTACAAATCATGCAACTTTGGTTGTGGTGTAAGAACAACCACTCATGTAAGTGACTAAAGTCCCAGTGACATCGATTTCCAAGAGTATTATAAAGACTGCTATCTAACTCAGCTAGTAACATTTCCAACATATCATAAAAACTAAATTGCAATGCCAATTATTACGCTTGACCTTATTTTCACCAACAATCCTGATCGCCTAATCTCAATAAAAAAAGAAAACTTCCTAGGACACTAATGGGAAAATCTCAATTCTGTTTAGTCGGTCTTTTTGCAGTAGACTTGAACAAGAAAAGAAAAAAACCTTCAAGTTGCGGTTGGCTTAACTGGAGTAAAACAAGTTTCGATGCGATGTCAGCACACATAACTTCAAAGGTAATACCAACCAATCTCTCTGTAAACAATTTCTACCGTTGGTTGATTTACATTTACAACAAAGCTGTAAAACTTTGAATATTGATATTTAAAATTGAAAAAGTGTTTTTATTTTGTTTAAGATGTTGCAAAGATTCAGAAACGAAGAAATAATTACTTTCTAACATTTTGTGACTAAAATAGTATATAAAGTCGGTGTCATTACCACTGAAAATGTCATTTTTATCCGAGAATTTATTTTTTTAAATTTGATAAAATTTTGCTTTTCTTTGCTACCCAATCGCAAATTATCAATTTATCATTTGCAAACATATATATTTGCAAACTTACCAGCCGCTCTTCGATTTTCATTATCTCCCTCAAACCTTTTCTGATTTGCGTTGTTTTAGAGCAGAAATTCTCTTTTATATAAATGTTTTTCCCTTTCAGATTGCTTAACTAGCACAAAACTGCAACTTTATCTTTAAAATCTAAAAGTTTAATCAATATTATATCTTGGTTAAATTGACTCTTTTTTTTCCTGTTCAATAGACCCGTTTAATTTAGACATTTTTGACAGATAATAAGTCTTTAAAAACTTTTTTTACCATCAGATTGCTTTCCTCCCAGCTTTCAACTTCATTTTTATTAATTCCATCTACACTTGAATTATAATGTCTCACTTCATCTTACATCTTCGTAACTTTTTTTGTATGCGTCTAACTTCTGAATTGTTTTCTTTTCTGCAAACAATTGCTTTCTTAACATTTTCATCGGTTAGTTGCTCATAAAAATTTAAGCAATGTTTTAACTTTTTTATATGTCTTTTTCGACTTCTTTCTAATCAGCCATTATATATTTTTAAGTTTCCAACGATAATATCAATAGAAAATATTTCCTGTTGCTTTAACATCAACTCGAATTCTTTTTAATTGCCCACAAAAAAATTGTTTTTCTAATAATTTAACAGCCATATTATACAACAAATGAGTTTATTTCTCAAGAAAAATAAAATATACTGAAGATTTAAAAACTCTACAGTTTTTTCTTTAAACTCTTAAGCTGCAAAAACACGTCTGTTCATGGAAAATAAAATTTGATTCAACATTGGAGCAAGACTGTCCTCGACAATTAGTACATACTTGTGAACACAATAACCCGACTTTTTTTGTCTATAACCCTATTTGCAATTGCAAAAAAATAGTTTTTATAAAACAGGTGGGAGTAAAGTTTGAACTGGTTCCAATGTATTACCTACTAATTTCCAACCCCAGTCTGCTGGGTCCAGTTGCTTGCCTAGCCATACTGGAACTTGATATTATGTTCAATATATAAGTGTTGACTAGCAGAAGTATTTAAATATCTATACTTGTCTGTACAAACAATTTTTTTTTGAGTTTCATATAGAGCAAAAAGTAAACGAATTCCGTTTGTGATGATATCTTGTGGGTTAGTCAATCTATTGAAATACTTTGGCGCGAATAATTAAACCATGATTTTTAAATAATTTAAATCTAAATATAGTATCGCAGCTTGTTACTGTATGTAATGAAGACATTAGCGTCATTATCAGCTTGGTTCACAATAATATTTGCCGCTGTTAACGTTTTGCATAACATTAAAATGAAGCAAGACTTGTTGTGAGTATGCAAGGAATTCTGTTGGCTTGTTTGAACCGTTATAAAATGATAAAAAATGACATCATAAGATGGAGATGTTTTTGTGGTTTGACGACGCTGTTCTGCAGCGTAAACATCTTTTCTATAATCAGTAAAACCGTCTTTAGGAACTTGATGACCAAATAATATATACACACTGAATACATACTGAATGTATTTATCAAAAATAACGTTAAACGCTTCTTCTTAATCCCACAAAACGCTAGATAATAAATATCTTCCATCAATGATGTGACTGGCATTTGCTTTGTGAATTTTAATGTTCACTTCAAAGCATTCGTAAAAAAACTGATTTTTATGTTTTACGCTTTGGGGCCATCCATAAAGGACGTCATCTAAATAGGGGGGGAGGGGATCGAGTTAAAAAGGACAAAAAAGGACAAGGGGAGGGGGGAAGATTTTCAGAAAAAGACGTCACTTTATAGATTTTTTATTTTAGTTTAATTAACATGGAAAACTACGTAAACATGTGTTTTTAAGAAGATAATGTATGAGAATATTTTTAATTTTATTTTTCAAAGGTGTAGCAGCAGATTCAAACATCATTGCAAGATGAAATAAATTTTTTTGGAGTTAAAAATAGGGGGGTTTAGGATTTTATGACCACCTTTTCAAGGGGGGTATAGGGAAAAAGGACAACCGGTGAAAAAGGGGGGAGAAAGGGTCAAAAATTGGCTAAAAAATGGTGACGTCCTTTATGGATGGCCCCTTTCCACTTTCATTAAACAGTGATAATGGGTAGGAGGCTAACTCATATTTAAAAAATTTTTAAATTTTTTTAAATCGTCTCAGTAATACTCATACGTTGAAATAACAATACTGAATCTACAGATACTTTTTCATTATGGACCTTTATGGCGCTACTCATGATTAAAAGAGAAAGTTTTTTATCAGCGCGTTTTAACTTGACATTAAATGTTTCCCGGCCATTTTAGACATAGAAGCTTCACTTCACGAGCTATATGACAGTTTTAATGTCAACGACAACACCACTGACAATAAATATGATTTCTTTGACTATTGTCAAAGAATCATGTAAAGAAAATAACTCATTAAGTTTTTCAGTATCTTTAGTATCTTTCTTTATTTGTGAATCACTTGCATGTACATGCTGATCTATTTTACCAATTCTAATATCAAATAAATCTTACAATCCTTTACAAACAGTATTCAATGTATGCATGCCATAAACCCATTTACTTATACACTGTCTTTTGTGCTTCTTCCTCGAGCAATTTGTCTTTATTAATTTCATGGTTGATTGCTTGATCAGCATATCCATTTAAAAACCACAACTGAGGTTATCTGATACAAGTGCGCAGACTTAGCATAAGGAAAATTTTCTAATGCGTGGAAATGAGGATGCACTTTTTTAAATGGTATTCAAATAACCTTTCCAATCTCCCGTGCGTTCAGCTCGTATAAAGTTCTTTGCAATTGACACCATATTAAAATGTTGCATCCATAGTTTTGGTGTGGGTCCACGTTTTTCAAATTTTAAACGTTTTGATTGAACTGATAAAGTAATCTTTTACATATTTCATTATCGCTACTACTTTCAATAACATTGAATGAAATTATTTTAATCCTGACCTTTTCAATAGTAATATTAATGTTTTCAACGTCATAAGTAAAAAGATCTTTTAATATTATTATTACTAAAGTGAGCTGAAGTAATGTATGGACTCTAACGCGTAAGTTGGAGTTTAACGCGTAACTGTGACTAACGGTCATAGACTCTAAAGCGTAACTCTCACGCGTAAGCATGCTTATTGAGTATTTTTTTAAATGACTTTGGTGCATAAATTAACGAAAGTACCTCAAGAAATCATCTAAGTTTTATTACGATCTTTGATAGTTCAGATCCGTCAGATACGATTTCTCGAGCATTTGCATACAGAGGTTGATCAAAAGTAATAACGCATACTTCGTGGCAGGGTTGGTACCCAAAAACCCAAACCCAAAAATCCACCCGAAAACCCAGGACCAAAAACCCAACTTTATGAGTTTTTGGTCTTAAGTTTTTAGTTTTTAATTTTTTTATTTATATAAATTAATTTTCATTAACATACAAGATTTGATGCTGCTCAACTAACAACAAAATATGAAGTTTAGAAACTCATAAATGAGGATTTTATTTTACTTGGAGCAATAATATTCAAGCTTAAGCAATTAAAACAAAGTAATTTAACAGTCATCAGCATTTGCGTCTCTTGATCTTAAATGTCTGTAATTTTATACAAACGTTTCAGCTTTTTTTCTTCCAAAACGATTCTTAATTTTACTCCAAATAATCCCAAAAGATGAGAAATATCTTTCAATGGATCCAGACTAGCAAGACAAGTGTGCAACTGCCGTAAAAATTTTGCAAAATTTGCAGGCAATATGGAAGGCTTAGATTCCTTCATTTCTATAATTCTCCACCAATTTATTGCTGATGTTGTGCTTTTTACACTATCGTTAAATAAATATGTTGGGAAACAATTAGCATCTTTTTGTTTAAATGCATAGTATCCCTGGCATAAATTCAGGATAGACTTCATTCAACCATTCCTCAGCTTCATCATCTCGACTTCTATCCAATGTTCTTCCTAGTTAAGTAAAGTTATAAGAGTAGTAAACTTAAAAAAAAACTTTACATATGTTTTTATTTAAAATTTATCAGATGCAAAATTTTAAATTTTTTACAATTGTCTAGTTATCTTTATATTTTGGATCTATTAAATTGGCCAAAAAAAGAAACTATTGCTTTCTTAAACCTCTTTAAAATATCATCTTTGAACAAATTTTTCATTGTGTATGAGGCTTTGCCAAATCTCAACTGCCGCAGACAAAGTTGTATTGTCTGCCTGCAACTACAGTAAATACAATAATTTTGTTAATAATTAGGTAAATAAAGTTAATGATGACATTTTTCCTAATATATGTAGTTTTAATATACTTATTATAATTAAATTTAACAAATTCATTTAATAACTAATTTTATTAACCTTATCTAACGCACCACCAACAATTTTCAGTTCTGCATATAAATTCATTGATTCTCTCTGTTTTGACAGAATTTCAATTAGGTTTCTTATCGAAGGATCAATGGATTCCATATGCTCACCTCTAATGTCAACGTACAGAGAATGATTAGATATGTATATCTGTAAACAATCTAGTTGGGAGTTCCAGCAAGTATCATTGGGTAGCTGTGACATCAGTCCACCTTTTTCCAATAACCAACCCTATAATAAATTTGTTTAAGAAAAATTAACAAAGAAATATTTAAAAATAGTTTCGTTAAAATAAAGCTAGGATCTCTTTTACCATTATTATCATTAGGCTTATATCATTAACACAGCTGTTGTATTTTATTACAGAATATGACAAATAAGTAAATAACAATTTAGAATTTAATCGATACGTGTGGTTGGTGATGATTAGAAAAATATTTATAAATTGCTATAATATGCTTTACTACCGGTTTTTGCATTTAAACTGGTGGATTTTTGCACGAATCTGGCGGTTTTTTTTATTCAATCTAGTGGTTTTTCTTTATTATGATAAACAATTTTGTTTTTATTGCTTTATTTAATTTAACTTCCTTATGTACAATTTAAGCCCGTTTTCTCTTATTTTTCAAAAATTTAAAATGAATAACGCACGAAGACAATGCTCAGAGATTAATGTTGAAATAAGAAATTTGATCATTAATCTTCTAATTAACGAAGGGAAAAGTGTGAAAGAATTATTGGAACTCGTGCATAGAAGTGAGACTTCAATACGAAGCCTGGTCCATCGGTATTTATCAACAGATAATATCAATCCTGGTATTAGAGGTGGTTTTCGACAGTCAGGTTGTACTGAGGAAATAAGAAATAAGCTACACGAATTGATTGGAGATAACAAAACTATAATCTACAGGAGTTAAAGGTAGCACTAGGACTTGATGTCAATGTCTTTACATAATGGCGATAGTTAAAAAAATTGAATTATACATACAAAATATTAAAGGCGAGTTTTCACTCATCTGTTTTTCTACGGGAACGGGATAGGAAAGAAAAAAATAATCACGTAAGCATGCGTAATTAAAGTTTTTATTTGTCCGAAAGAAAACTGCTCATGCTCACGTGATTATTTTTCCG